CTAAAAATCAAAACTATTCTCCTAAAAGTGAAATCTTTTAGAGTCTTAGAGAGTCTTTCAGAAAAGCTTGATCCCTTTGGAGATCCATGTAGATAATCCAAAAATGATATCTCAGAATTTCCTGAGAAAAAATTACAGGCTTTTACAATTTTTTGTTGTCTTACACTTGCACATTTGTGTACCTTGTCACGGGTAATCTCGAAGGTTGGTCCATCGGGTAGGTTTCGAATTGGGGTTTTCTCTTCATAAAACAGGTTAGATGGCAGCCTCAGTTGTGATGCGTTCACAAATATAGAATCTGGCGGCAGTGCTTCTGGCTCTAATTTTGGCACTCTGAACACTAACAGCGCGTTTTTGTCCTCGCAAATTATGGGAAGGTAATCTCCAGGACTGTTAAAGCTATCAATAGCTTTCTTCAGGTCTTCACTTTGCACCTTTGGGTACAAGTATGAAAGTTGGGTACCCTAAATGTAAGATGGGTCACTAAAGAATGAATGTAGGCCTTTAAATCTTCGGAAACATAGTTCGCATTTGTTTTACTTGTGTTTTCGGGACCTGTCTTCCATACCTGCCTTTTATCGTAGGGACCCAACTATCACACTTGTACCCACCTTTGAACTGTTCTGGTACTTGAGCCAGCGGTCAAAAATGACAATTAACTGTGATCGGTTTTGGGACGGAACCAGATTTGGAAAGACGTCGTCCAATTCTTTTAACCCCCTCGCAAACAAAGAAATAAACCGAGCAGAGAAATGCAAATGATGAGGAGACGTTTGAGGGTTAATTTTGCGGGGAAACACAAAATGGTTTAACAGGTAGTCATTCATTTTGACTTTTTTTCAGTCAAAAAGACTAGTTTTTACTTATAAGTGAGTTCTAAATGTTCACAATTTTTTCTACAACATAACAACAGCAATTTGAAATCGAAACAGCAATTTGTAAGACTTGTAAGGAAAAAATTTTTCATCGCCCTGTATAATGCAATTTCATAAAATGAAGCAAAACAGGAAAGGCATGCTTTAAGACAGGAGTGCAGCCAGTATTTAGACAGCCGCGTATTCATACTGGTCAGTATTTAGACAAATACTGTATGAACCAATCAGAATTTAGAAAAAACATAAATAATCCAAAATAACTAATAATTATTTATTAATTTCTTCTTTGTCTCGATTCTGATTGGTTGAAACAGTATTTGTCTAAATACTGACCAGTATGAATACGCGGCTGTCTAAATACTGACATGTAACCTTTAAGACAGCACATTTAAATTTTGAGAAACACAAACTGAACACAATCCAAACGCTTGGCGTTTTAATCATTTCTCGGAAATGTAAATGTACGAATGTACCATTCTAAAACCGAGCGGTATTTTGTATTATGCGACAAACTGATGGTAAAATATAACATGAAGAATCAGGCTCCAAAGAGTTCTGCTGCTTTTCATTATTATTAATCACGCTTTCCGAGATGAATAACTCAATTTGGTAAACAAGCAGAGCATTTTCAGCAAGCAAAATAGTAGATTAGCATAGTCACGAATATAAGCTTTTTTTATTTCTGAGAAATAGAAAAACTTTTGTTGAAGGATTAGTTAAGTACTGCTCGGATTCCGTGCTAGGCAAATAAGGCGACCGGATATTAAGGCGACAAGACATCTAGACGACAAAAATGCCATCCCAAGAATTTTTACAATTAACGAACCACCTAAATACGACAACTGTACCCGAGTTGTTTTCTCATTTAACAAGGAATGGTTGATGCGGTTACATGCCAGTATTTAGACAGCCGCGTATTCAGACTGGTCAGTATTTAGACAAATATTGTTTCAACCAATCAGAATCGAGACAAAGAAGAAATTAATAAATTTTTATGATTTATTTTGGATTATTTATGTCTTTTCTAAATTCTGATTGGTTCATACAGTATTTGTCTAAATACTGACGAGTATGAATACGCGGCTGTCTAAATACTGGCTGCACTCCGGTTGATGCGTGTTTAATTGTTAAAATTTCCGTTTTGTATTTTGGAACCTGATTTAAACTATATTTTATGATTGGATAAATTAGATATTTTACCACTGTAAAGTATTTAATATTAACCAATCATGATCCATCTAACTAACAACCCACTTATTTGTAAGCGCTGAAATTACTTGTAATTTCAGCACCAGAGAGATTTGAATTTAACTTAGAAATTAGTTGCTTCTCCAAGAGAACTTCAGCAGCCGCAACAAACCAGTATACCCTAGATCTATTGAGCCTAGCAGAGACTAGTTAAACACCCTGAGACTAGAAAGAATAAGAGTAAGATTAGGATCGGTATTAGACTAAGAAAATGCACGAATCTATCCGGCCGAAAATAAGATAGCGTGACGAGCAGACGGTGTACCCTATCCGAAATTACTCCATGAGTTAACCACATTCGGTCTTAACTCATGTGGTGCGACCATAAGTCTCGAATAAGACCTTAATAGCTTAGAATTAACCAAAAATAGATTAGAATTTAGACAAAACATTTTAAAAATGTTATACGACGATAATTTAATCGAAATGTCTCTACGACTCAATAGATCAGAGCCGATATTCCGAACGATAACAGAACTACCCGGAATCGTAAGAAGACCTCGAACAAGAGACGACATACGACAAAGTAGAAACTTACCATATAGTTATATGATAGTACGGCAAAAGCCAACACAAACTTTTATATTTAGAATCTTATTAGCAATGAATTTAGATTTCCATTTGCAAACATAAAATCTTGAAGTCAATCTTCATAATCATTTCAGGCGCTAAACAAAATTATTAATATACAATAAGGATTGATAAAAAGATCTCAGATCGTTTTCTTAAATTCTGCAGTATTATATAAAACATGTTTGGAAAATATTTATTGAAAATCAAAACAAAAATTAGTAGCATGACAATAAATTGTTAGTAATCATAAAATCATCTGTTGTCCCAGCTTCATCACCTAAACATAACAGCAGTCATAAGCTCACTAATATCATTAAAAAACTAAATCTTTTTCTTAAATAAATTTAAACTATTTTAAACTTAAATTCACTTAATTTTAAAATCAGATTATCAAGGCTTATCCTTGGATCTTAATTAATTTCCTATTTCACTAAATTTAAAACTTGATCATCAAGGCCTATCCTTGGATCAAAAAGAAAAATTTTTATTCTCCCCCACCTACTTAGCAAGTGTCTAACGACCTCAAACGTCGATTCACTATCCAACCCTTCCAAAAAACCCAAGACTATTAAAAAATTTTAAACAAAACTAACCATTCAAATTAGGATAAACAGTGAAGAACTTCGGTTATTCATCCTTCACTTGAACCCTCCTCTTACCAGACCCAGGATAAATCTTAGACTTAGTAAGTTTAAAATAGTATCTAACGAACTACTCGCGTTCTAATTATACCTGAACCTTGTGGATCGATTTACTATTCTCCAACCCTTGAACACAATCACTACCCCTAAGTAAGATTAAGTAAGTTAACACCTTAGCTTATATTAGCCACGAGAAAGTAATAAATCATTCTTCGGAATCGATATACTTTTCTCTCCAACCCTGAACAAATAGACCCAGGTTAAGCTAACCAAAAAATCGTAAGGACTAACAATTTAAGAAAGTAGACATCATCTAACAACTCTTTGCATCCCTCATCCTAAACCTTATCTCATTCAAAAATCTAGGAAATAAACAAACAATCGTTTTACACAACTGTGAAATAGATAACAACAAATACGATCTTGTAATCACACCTCATACACAAACAGTTGGATATATCAGAACAAAACGACTAACAATAAAAAGAAAAATAATAAACAAACAAAGACAAATCACACGAAAAAGATTTTCAAAAAATAGAAACGCATTTTCAGAATCAGAAACCAACAATTTAGATGAACTCTATAAATTAAAAGAATCGATTGATAAAAATTGTCCCATTCACGATCAATTATATTTTTCCGACTCAGAAACAACTTCAAATTCATCAAAAAGAGGAAAAAGAAGAATAAAAAAGCAAAAATAAACACAAACCAGTACACTTGTATAATTGGAATCAACCAATTAGACACATCGATAGTTATATATTAACAGTCATTAAACGAAAAAATGAGCCACAGCCACACTCAAAGTGACGAAAATCCAGATGACGAAGAGGTTTACCCCTTCCTCATAGATGCACCCGATAATAGAGGGCAGCATGACTTTTGCAAGAATTTACTCCTAAATTTGTTTGAACCCGGAATCAGCCCATGCAAAGCAAAATTCCCAGATGTAAAAATCAAAAGACAAATTTTTGAACATTATCTGAAAGATGTAAGTAATTTAACACAACAATACGGAATCTACACCA